TTGAGCGCTGTTTTTTCACTCGCGTGTTTTTGGAGATGGACGGGCGGAGATGAAAAAGAATATCGGGGACGGACGAATGGACGGGCAAACTGAGTGACGGCGAACGGACGAACGGGTGCACAAGACGAGGCACTTCACGCGTGCGCGAGATTTGCCGAGCGGCTATTTACCGTGGCGTGTGGTTTTTTTTCCAGAGCAAATTGGCACCCGATTGAATTACCCCGGGGGCGCCAGGGTCTCGGGTTGCTCGGCGGCCGCTCTCCCCTGCGTCATTAATGGTCTAACCTGTGAACTCCTTCACACACCCCAGAGACTCGGGTTCTTCATTATCGTCTGCCGTGTCGATCCACTGCTGGACTAAGGCCCCCCCCCCCTTCACCGTCTCTCACGGCTCCTCGGGATGCGACAGTCCGTCCCGGCTCCTACACACGAGCTGATTTCATCGCTCCATCTTCTCGGCGGAAGAACGCTCAGGCCCGTTTTCTTATTTGGCTGTAACTTTGTTGTCCGTCGTGACTATCGGTTATTGTCTCCCTCCTAGCCACGATGTGCCCACTTCATTTTTTTCGCGGTCATTACGATGCTCGCTCGCCACATCTAAACTGCATCTAAATGCAGTGAGTGAATGCTACGTGATAATTATTACTATCATTGGGACACAACGATGCCAGTGCGGACGACTCAGCCGACCGCACCGGAGCTCCGCGCGTTGTCACCGACGGCGGTGGCAGCGGTGGCGCTGCCGCGACACCGGAGCCGACCTAGGGGCTCTACCACCACGTTGACGTAGTGCCGACCTAGGGGCACTACCACCACGTTGACGTAGTGCCGACCTAGGGGCACTACCACCACGTTGACGTAGTGCCGACCTAGGGGCACTACCACCACGTTGACGTAGTGCCGACCTAGGGGCACTACCACCACGGTTAATGTAGTGCCGACCTAGGGGCACTACCACCACGTTGACGTAGAGCCGACCTAGGGGCACTACCACCACGTTGAAGTAGTGCCGACCTAGGGGCGCTACCACCACGTTGAAGTAGTGCCGACCTAGGGGCACTACCACCACGTTGACGTAGAGCCGACCTAGGGGCACTACCACCACGTTGAAGTAGTGCCGACCTAGGGGCACTACCACCACGTTGACGTAGTGCCGACCTAGGGGCACTACCACCACGTTGAAGTAGTGCCGACCTAGGGGCACTACCACCACGTTGACGTAGTGCCGACCTAGGGGCACTACCACCACGTTGAAGTAGTGCCGACCTAGGGGCACTACCACCACGGTTGACATAGAGCCGACCTAGGGGTACTACCACCACGTTGAAGTAGTGCCGACCTAGGGGTACTACCACCACGGTTGACATAGAGCCGACCTAGGGGTACTACCACCACGGTTGACGTAGAGCCGACCTAGGGGTACTACCACCACGTTGACGTAGTGCCGACCTAGGGGCACTACCACCACGTTGACGTAGTGCCGACCTAGGGGCACTACCACCACGGTTGACGTAGTGCAGACCTAGGGGCACTACCACCACGTTGACGTAGAAGATGCGGCCAACGCTGAGGCCGAGGGATTGCGCTCGGCGTGGCATCGCGCTCGGGGCAGGAGGGTCGCCTGGCTCACGGCCACCACCGGTGACGATTATCTGAACAGGTCCCGGGCCTCCCCTATGCTGACTCGGCCTCAAATGAGTACCTGGTGCGATGTGTAAACATCACCACTGGGGAGACAAAGGCAGCCGGGTGCGGTGTTGGCAACCCCCTCGTGTGCCGTGCCGGCCTTCAAAGTTGCTCGCTAACAACACTTGCCCCAACAGTCTGTTAAAGGCTATAGGGGGGAATCTTTGTCTTTGCACGTGCACATACTCCGGCACACTCGGGCACACTCGTGCCCTTCTGTGTGCACGGTTAATTAGTTTTTTTTATGTAAGCGCGACAGACGCGAGGATTGCCATCTTCGGTCTTGGCTGCCCCGCACAGCGGCAGTGCAGCATGATAGACGGAGCTGGATAGGTGGCGTCGCGTGTCAATTTCATCCTCCTGTCAACGAGTCATCCACCGATGGCCGGTTTTTTCACCAAGATGCACTTTGGTGAATCGTCACAACTCCTATTACCCGAGCTTTCAGATGTGCTTCTGCGGCCATCCGGAACGCTGTTCCTTCCGCTATTAGGAAGCGACTGGAGCTATGCACTTTTAAATCTAGATTGAAAAGTCATTACTTCAGAACTGTTTTTTGCGGTTCGTATGTTGTCTTTCCCCCGCACCTCCGATTAGCACGGTTGGCCACGTACGGTACAAAAGAAGTTCAACATACCCGTGTATTTTTTAGCAGATGAGAGGAGCTAATCGGCAAGCAAAGAATTGATCGAATTAAAACCCGCCAAGAGCCAACGCATCGCCGCGTGACGAAACTTTTTCGCGACTCCTGGGTGCCTCTTGGGTGCCCGGGGTGGGGGCGTCCCACGCGCGAAACAATCCGCTTCCCGAGGCTACGACATTGTTGCGCTCAATTATCCAGATGCCTCGCCCGGCCACAGTCTCGCCCCGGGGGTCTTAAAGAGTCCCCCTGACGGGGACCTTCCTCTGACCCCAGCCAGGGGCCCGAGCCACGCCACCGCCGGCGATTGTCCCCACGACGTGGCGTCCCCACGGCTGATTCCCGCCATCGCGTACCGAGCGGCGTCTTTGGCGCGGTGCCCGACGCGGAATGAATTCCTGCGGAGCGGTGGCACGGCGGTTGGCACTGCGCTGCGTTACCGAATACGGAGCACGGCTAACGTCGGTGAGGATTGATCCGAACCGGTCCTGCGCCCTCCCCGAGGCCGACTCGGTGCGGTGTGTAAACAACAGCGTTTGGGAGGCATGCTCACACGGGCTGTGGTGTCGGTCACCACACCGCCTGTGCTGGCCTTGAGAGATGCTCTCTAACAGCACGTGTTCTCCCAATGGTCTAGTAGAGGCTGTTGTGGGTGTCGTTGCTGCTGTACCACTCCCAATGCAGTCTCCCGCCTTTTTGTTATTCTTACACATAGGTTGAACCCTGAGTCAGTTTCCTTTTCAATATGTTTTGACCGCTACTTGTTTGCAAACTTTGCGTGGGTGTGAGCTCCGGGACTTGCCGTCAAAGCGGCGGCCTGGTGATGTGTAGTGTTGCCACACCGCTCCCTCGTGTGCCCGTGCCGGCCCTAATAAGCCCTCGCCAACAGCACTTGACTCTGTTCTCCCTAGAGCCTGTACGGTTGAATAGGGAGCGCTGTCTTTGTGTGGGGAGCGGTGGTGGAGCGGTTAGCGTGATGCGCTGCGAACACTGGTGGTGACCCAAGTTCTGGCCACAGTTAACATGAGTTCAAAGGGATATTAGAACCAATATTGGGCCTCCCCTAGGTTAACCCGGCCTAAAATTAATGCCTTGTGTGGTGTGTAAACATCACCACTGTGGAGACAAAGGCAGCCGGTGTGGTGCTGCTCACCAGACTACCCCCTTCTGTGCCGTGCCGACCTTAATAGGTGCTCGCTAACAGCACTTGCCCCAACAGTCTGTTAAGGCTACACGGGGGGTCTTTGTCCTCGTCTCACTGGATCCTCGTTTGCCCCCCCCCCCCCACACTTCCCCATGGCACAAAAAAAGTCAGAAATTGTGACCCAAAATTGCTTCCCATTTTAAACGTCCCGGATTATTACCCCACATTGTGGCTGGATAACAAAGCCCACGATGAAAGGCGTACGTGGCAAAATGCATAAGCGGTGTCCCAAGATCGTCTGCCGGGCCTTTTCCCGGAACGTCGGACATCGCGCCGGACAACACGGGGGCACAGCCCGAAAGCACACACCCGGACAGCTGTCGTGTGCAGCGCGACCGCGGGGAACCGACGCAGCTGCTGCCGCTGCTTCTGATTCTGCTCCTTTGCAGCGTTGACTTCTGCATTCCGTAGCCCTGGCCACACGGTGCACAAAGTGAGCCTTCGCGACGGAGGGATCTGCGTCAAAGTGTGCCTTGTTACGGAGGGTGCTCCCTCGCTCGCTCCCTCGCTCGCTCCCTCGCTCCCTCGCTCGCTCCCTCGCTCGCTCCCTCGCTCCCTCGCTCGCTCCCTCGCTCGCGCTCTTTCTCTCCCCGTGCTTTTACTCTCTTCCCACCGCAGTTGCTAAGCGCCCTTTGGCTTGAGAAATAAAATTCCTGGCGTGGAGGGCCGGAGTACGCACAAACGTGTGGCATCCCCCCCCCCCCGTACACCACGCTTCATCCCCTGCGCTCCTCCTTGCCAGCGACTTGGCGTTCAATTTCGTTCCGCCTTGCTTCAATTAGCCGGCTCGGGTTTTGTCGCAGTTTAATTCCGGAGACCTGCTGCGCATTAGGACGATTTTTTTTCTTGGAAACAGTTATCGGGGGTTGGAGTTGGCGGTGCAATTTACAGGAAAAGGCCGCAGCAGACGCAACGCAACGACGCGGGTCTCTGTTCCTTCTCGCACATACGTCTTATTAGACGGTGACGATAATGAGACGCTGATGATGATGACTCCTATGACAACGCCGATGACGATGCTCATGATGAAGAAGACGATGATGCGGTGACGTGAGCGGCACGATTGGCCGACCCGATTGTGGCGCGGTGGATAGCGTGCCGCTTGATGCACCCGCAGACCCTGAGCACGGTTCCCGGCCACGGCTAACGTCGGTCGCGAGTGACATCTGGACCGGTCGTGCGGCTGAATACGCTTGCACCGCAAAATCACTCAATTTGGGATCGCGCCCACGGCACCGATCGTCGCCCCCCACTGACGGACTCGTACCCACCAGCGGCGGGGCGGTACCGAGTCACCTTGTGCCGCACGCGGACAGCTGCCACTGGGGGTGCCCCCTTCGAATTGTTGAGCAGAAATGTCGTAAGGCGCTTCGAGATGGTGAGGCATTTCATTAAGCTCCTCGTATATGCAGAGATTGCTATCATTGTTAAGGTGTGCGTGCGTGTGCGTCTGTCTTCCCCCTTGTTCAGGCTCGTAGACGATCGATGCGTCGTGCAACCTGCAGCCGGGGATCTTACTCGGCCTCCCAAGAAATTCAGAGGTGAGACCCCCTCCCCCGCTTCCCTCCACCCCCGTGGTGAGAAAGGGCCCTGGTACAAGGAAATAAATGGGGCCCCCTGTCCAATTTTACTCAGCAACTCACTCAACTATACAACCACTCTGCCACTTACCAAATCAACCACTCAAACACTCACTAGTTCACCCACTTAACCACTCAGCCAACCACTCACTCACCCACTCAATTACTCACTCAGCCACTCAATTACTCACTCAGCCTGTTACTCGCTCACTCAATCACTCACCCACTCACTTAACCTCTCACCGTCCCTTCCCACGTAACTCAATGTGTTCTGGGGACGGGGCGGGGGTGAGGAGGGCCTGCACAGGGTAGTCCACTGCTCACTGTTAAGAGTTCCGATGGGAAGACGCCGATAGCATTTGGATAGAAATTGGTAAAAAGAAAAAAATACGTGTGTGTGTGTGTATGTGCGTGTGTGTGTGCGTGTGTGTGCATGTGGGTGCATGTGTGTGTGTGCGTGTGTGTGTGCGTGTGTGTGTGTGTGCATATGTGTGTGCGTGCTTGGTGCGTGTGTGTGCGTGTGTGTGTGTGTAAAACTACGTGGTCGGGAGTCAGAGCCATTCCCTGTACACCTTGGGTGCGACAGGGATGTCATCTGGTTCCCACATATTTCGACCACATAGTTCATGAAGCCTTCAATAGCTGTACCAGAGGCATTTCCATCTCTTACAGATACAATGGGAGGCTAATCGATAGATGCTCGAGTGCGGTCAAGGGATGGCTCCATATTGCTCAACCACGTTATGTATGCCGATCTGGTAATTGTTGCTCACTCAGAGGAGGAGTTGGAGGTGCTGCTGCTGAACCTGGAGCTTGCCACTAAGAGGTGGGGCCTTACCATTAGTCCCATCAAAACTAAGCACCTGCCTGGGTATTTTGTACCATCGGACTCTCACTCCGAATCAGTCAAGCGGCATGATCTCTTAATCGGTTGCGTAAGGCTGTGTGGAAGCTACCTGGTCTGTCGCTCCGCACTTAGCTTCAGGTCTTCTCGGCCACGGTCATTCCCTCCCTTCTCTACGGTTGCGAAACGTGGACCCCTCTAATGGAACATCTTTGCCGGTTAGAAACATTTAGGCTAGCCTGCCTACGACCCATCCTGGGTTTAACCAGGCTGGATTGTGTGAGGAGCTCACAAATCCTTGAAAGCTCTGGGCAAGGTCCCATCGGTGAGCTCCTCCGGCAGGCAAGGCTGCGTTGGCTGGGTCATGTAGCCCGCATACCCAGCCACCGCATGCCGAAACAGCTTTTGTTCGGCCGGATCGAGAGGGCTAAACGGGCGCGGCACGGGCTAGAGAAGAGATGGAGTGATGTGGTACAGGAGGACGTGGAGCTGAGTGGACTTGCCGATGACTGGTACCAGCGGTGTCAAGATTGGCCTCTGTGGAGGAGGCTCGTGAAGGACGCTACTGGGCAGTTGGAGGCAGTCGCCCTCCAACAACAACGGAGGGCGGAAGAGCGACGCTCACAACAACGAGCGGAGCGCCGGGTGGCTAAAGCACAGCAGGTTGGCACAGTAGGGCGCACAGGTGGTGCATCAGCCAGTCATCTTAGTCATCTCATTCGACCCGTGGCACCTGGGTCTGCCCCGTGACCTTCTGCCAGCAGGCGTTCGACACTTCACGTGGCCTCAAGGTGCACATGGCCTGGCACAAGCGTCGTGGTGACGTCACCGCCACTTAGTGGCGAATGGCGGTTGTTGTTGTGTGTGCGTGCGTGTGTGTGTGTGTGCGTGTGTGTGTGTGCGTGCGTACTACGTACATACGAATGCTGTTAAGAAGCTAATGTAGGCAGTGCCGTCAAATTCCAAAGCATTGCGCAATAACCAGAACATCCGCTCGCCCTTGCATGCCCGCTGCACACAGGAGGTGAGAATACTGTAATACAAAATAAATAATACCAATTGAAATACTTTTTAAGTGTCAGGGTTCAATTTGACTTTGTTTAACCGGTGACCTCGTGGGGACATAAGTCCGCTGCCGGTAATGGGGGCGGTGATTGCTATGTAAACTAAACTATTTAAAAACTATAAACTATTTTTTATTTTACCGCGTCGGGCCCACTGAGCTATGCTGCTCTTTTTCAGCTCAACGACGTGGCTCATCGTCACGTGGACATTTTTAGCAGCCAAATTCTCTAAACGCGTGTTTCTGAAAAATGTGGATGGAAAAACCGGAGGACCCGGAGAAAAAATCCACGCGGCCACGGAGAGCCCACGCAAACTCCACATGTACAGCAGGCGTCAGTGTCGGGATCGAACCCACACCCTCCTGTATAGCAGGCGAGGTAGTTAACAGTTTGCCACTGTGGTGCCACATGGAATCCCAACCGAGTAGTATGTGGTGCCCCCTTTGTCAGTCCACTTCTGGACGTTGTTGTTCCCACGCCGTGTCGGGCTGTTTGACCGGACGACTTCACTGCGACGGTCGGTGCGTGCGGGTTTGCTGAAGTGGCCGTGGCATAGGATCGGTTCAGATGTCACTCGCCACTCGTGTGTTAGCCGTGGCCTGTGCATTAATAATCATTGTTAAGGGCTAAATTCGATTTGTAGCAATTATTCACCAGGGCACCATCGCTCCAAACCAGCGAGTAATATTACGCGGAATGCGCCTAATTTCTTAAGATTTTCTGAAGCTAAGCAGGTATTTAGCCTGGAAAGCACTTTAAAGGGTGTCCACATTGCACAAACATTGTTATAAGCTGCAGGGCTAGTTGGAGGGAGGTAAGCATAGTGGTTGGCGCACTGCACTGCTCTATCAACCCGGCGACCCGAGTTCGAATTCCGCTCACGGCCAGCACCAGTGACGACTATCTGAACCGGTCCTGGGCCTCCCCTAGGTCGACTCAGCCTCAAATGAGTACCTGGTGTGATGTGTGAGCATCGCCACGAGGGAGACAAAGGCGGTCGGGCGTGGTTCTTGCCACCCACCTTCTCGTGTGCCATTCCGGCCTGAATAGGTGCTCGTTAACAGCACTTGCCCCAACAGTCCCATGAGGCTATACAGGGGAACTTTGTCTTGAACAGCCTCACACCCAACGCTCGCCCCTGATGCTGAATTTCCCAACGAGTTGACGCCTCGCTGCATAGGCCAATGTGTGTGATCATTCGCATTGTGCATGTCGAGTGTTACGCACGTATCTCGGTCTGTAAGCACTGCGTGTAGGTAGCTACGTGGACAGGTAGGTCAGTCGGTAGGTACCCAGTAAATGTGGAACGTTGGGCCAAGGTTGGTCCGACGGTTCCAACCACATACCAACGTTGCCCCAACATTGCCCCAACATTGCACGGCTAGGTAGTGTAGGCACGCAGGTGAGTGGAGGGAAGGAGGGTTGGTAGATGAGGAGGGTTGGTAGATGAGGAGAGGGTATGCAGGTAGGCAGGCAAATATGAATAACCATCTTTGTACGTATCCGTGTTGAACGTCTTTCGCACCGCACGTAGCCAACCGTGCTCAGCGGAGGTGCGGTGGATGATCAACGTTATTCACCTTCGGTGTGGAAAAAAACACAAATTGTAACTAAGAGCATTAGCCAGTCTTCATCCATCCTGCAGCGGATTGCTAAATGGACTTTATATTATGATTCATCAGCAAATACTGCTCCATGCACCTCTCTCTCTCTCTCTGTCGTGTCCTTTCTCAAAGACATTGCCAATCATGACCTTCCTTCCATTTAGTTCTTTCCATAATATTTACTCAACAACTTCGCATTTACATCACTCCAAGTTGGATCCAGTTCGCATTGCTTACGCCGCTCAAATGTCTCTATCTTGCCCGGCTTCTTGTTGTACGCACCCACAAATGCATCGTAAAAACGCGGAAACTCGACGTTTTTTTTTACACATTTAGAAATAACAACGAGCGTGTACGCTTGTTACATTGGCCTCAGCAGCGTGCCAACGAAAGCGTCCAAGCGAGCACACACGAAACATTAAGGACGGCGCATGAGCAGCAGGGGAGTGCAGGCACGGAGGCTGCGGCGGTGCTGATGGCAGCGTTGCTGGACTCGGCTCTCATTCGGGGGAGCGCCAGATTAAAAGTGAAAACAAAGTCGGACTTTAAAAACAAGATAAACTGGTCGGGCGGAGACGGCGCGTCCTGGGCGCCCCGCCAGCGCAGCGTGCCTTCGTTTGTGGGTGCGATTTCATCGCGAGCGCTCGCCTGCGCTGTCATGGACAAAAGGTAAAGGGGCAACCCTGCAATTCCGCCACTGCTGATGGAAGCCCCCCCCCCCGCTCGAGGCCAGCTCTAGCGGGGAGGGCGGTTTGGCCGACTTTGCACACAATGGCGAAGTTGTCTCGGAAGAGGTGCGAGTTACCCGCACTTTACCCCACGGCGCGTGACTTGCTGATTTGTCTCAACTGGCCGCGCCTTGGGATGGAAATCAAACCGGCGCCCTGTGGACTGCGAGCCCAGTGCTTTACCCGTTACGCCGCTGTGGCAGCGTCGCGGAGGTAATATATTTAATGAGAAAATCGAGTTCGTAATTCTTTTTTTTCTTCCTGACATTATTTCCCCACCGTTGTGGGCTCTTGTCTTCCTGCGCGTCGCTCCCCGCTCACTCCGGTCCTGGGCCATCGTCTCCACTTCCACCGCCCGCAGGTCCTTCACATCCCCGGCTCGCCACCGCTGTCTGGCCCTGCCTCTCGGACTCCACCCCAGTGCTTCCACATTCATCGCCTTCCATATTCCTACGTGGTGTTCCCTCTCTGCTTATGATGACGTCCCAGCCATCTGGGTTGTACCCTCCCTGGGTTCTCCCACAATAAAACCAAATGCTCTTCATTTATGCAATTGGCCAAACATCCCAACGCAGGAACCCTCCTGAAAATTATTCTCGAGACTCCGTGTGGCTTTGCTGTGTTAAATATTGTGATTTTTTTCTATTTTATTTGGGGAAGAGTGGTTGCCGCAGTGTCCAGCGCACTGCGCTATGAACTTGAGCCACCCGAGTTAGATTCC